TTTTTTTTTGAGACTGAGTCTTGCTGTGTCACCCAGGCTACAGTGCAATGGTGCAATCTTGGCTCACTGCAACCTCTGCCTCTTGGGTTCAGTGATTCTCCTGCCTCAACCTCCTGAGTAGCTAGGACTACAGGCACGTGCCACCAAGCCTGGCTAATTTTTGTATTTTTAGTAGTGACGGGGTTTCACCGTGTTAGCCAGGATGGTCTTGATCTCCTGACCTCGTGATCTGCCTGCCTCAGCCTCCCAAAGTGCTGGGATTACAAGCGTGAGCCACGGTGCCCAGCCCACAATTTCTTTTCTAAGTGTTTCTCATAGCTTTTAATAAGTCCTAGACATATGCAAACTACTTAACAGAGACTGACATACATGTATTTAAAACTAACACCATAATGCTCATTAAGAGAGGTAAATGACTCTAATCCTGTATGGATGCAGGTGAACTTGTCAGTCTGAAAGGAGCAAGTTGAGAAAATGCCCTCATTTCTTATCAAGCCTGAGACATTTCCTGGGTAAGTGGTTTTAGGATTTGAAGCGATTGGTGAAGGTTGAAACAGAAATTAGAAGGAATGATAAGGGAGTTGTCTAACCCTCAAGGACATGTGGCAGCATAGCAGATCAAATTGATCAATAAAAATAATGACAAAGCACTTACTAAGCATCGGGCCCTGCTCTCAGTACTCTGCCTGTATTAAATCATCACCTCACAACAACCCTAGGTATTTTCCCCATTTTGTGGATGAAAAAAATTGAGGCTCAGAGAGGTTAGGTGATTTGCCCAAGTGAACTAGCTAGTAAGTGGTAGAGCCAGGTTTTAAACACTGACTGCTCCCAGGCCCTAAGCTCCTAATCACAGTGTGATGGTTAGGATAAGACCAGGTAAGCAGGTGGTGGTTAATACAATGCCTAACAAATGCATGGTCCTCTAGTAGAAGCTCAACTGATATTAGTTCCCTCTGCTTTCTGGTTTTCAACCCTCTCACCCCATATTTATTTACTCATCCACTCCTCACTCACCAAACACACACACACAATGACACATTCACACACAGTCCAGTCTTTAACAACAAAGTCCACACTCAGGTATCTAGGTCACTAGGTGTCAAATTTATACATACATCCTTCTTCCTGATAGGATTTCAGGTCACATACATAAAATGAGTCCTAGGACCAACCTCCCCTCTCCCCATCACTCTCCAAGATGAATGTAAATACACACACGAACACTGACTCTGGATTCCAAACATATGCATATGCATAGCCTAGTATAAGGCAGAATTCAACTCCGCACTTTTCGTTTTCCGTTATCCAGGGAAATGCATGAGTTACCATGACAGATGCCAAAGACTTTTGGCTCTGGTAGTGGAAACTGGGAGGCAATGGTGAAATGAAGTAAGAAATTCCAGGGCCAGAAGGTGGATGCAAGTCAGCGACGGCTTTTCCCAGGAGCTTGCTCTTTTGGGGTAAGTGCTACACGTACAAGCCCCAACCCGCTGCATAAGCCACCCTATTCCGAACCCCGCTCAGGCTGCAACAGATGCACACACTGCAGGAAGCCTCATTTGCAGGAGATGAGTGTTCCCTTGCTCTATTTTAATCCTGGCAGCCCAGCCGGAGAAGGTTTTGTCAGAAATGGTGGAAAACAGTGACAACCAAGCTTTCTGGAGTAAAGGCTAGGCAACTCAGGAGGAACGAATCACGACTCGCACAGTATTTAATAATTCAAGGGAAAACAAGTATCCTTCCCGCAGGCCCGCACTTTTGCAGCCAGCTTGGGCAGCCGTGGTAGCGCCTGGGCCACGACCTTCCGGGCGCGGCGGAGACGCGAGCAGCGCTGCCCCGCGGCTCCGGAAACACCCCTTCCCCTATTCTCAAGGACCAAATCCGTCCTGATAAACACCCCTCCTGGCCCTACAGTGGGAAGGGCAAGTTCAAACGCAGGGCGTCAAGCCCACACGCCTAGAGACCCGGCCAGGCATCCCCCGCCCTCTTCGCTGCGCAGTCGCGCATGGTGAGCAACAGTCCCCACCAACTCCACTTACTGCGCCTGCGCACTCCAGGGGTGCCCCCACGCCCCTTTCCGAGGCCTAGCGCCTGTCGCTTAGCAACGCGCGAGTCATAGTCGCTTCGCTTTGCGCGCGCTTTTCCTGGCAGGGCTGCGTCCCTGTTCTTCCCGGGAGGCTCCTCGCTGCCTGGTCCCGTAGAGGCCCATGGAGGGAAAGGAAGATAAGCATCAGTAAGTGCTGGGGTTTCGTGTCTTATTTCCCCTTCCAAAAACTATTTTCCTCCTTCAGGGGGAGGCCGGGGTCCAGCACGGACAGTTCAGGCCAAGCTCAGACAGTCCTCTTGCTTCTCTAATTTCCACTTGGCTGAGCGCTTACAACAATAATTTTTAAAACACACCGTTTTACTGAGCACATACTGTGTGTCAGGGACTTGACTTGCATTACTAGGTCTAAAATTCTTGAAGTCATCCACAATTCTCACAATTATTAGCAGATTTTGTAGGCTTTACCTTTAAAATTATCCAGAATCTACCACTGTTCATCACTTTCAGTAGTGTCCCCACCCAGTCCCAAATACCAGCTTCTCTTGCCTGGATGCTGCAACAGCCCTCCAGTTGGTGGCTTTGGTTTTCCCTTTCCCCTCTGCAGCCTCCTCAACACAGCAGTCAGAGCGGTCCTTTTACAGCCCAGGTTAGATCGCTGTTCTCCATCCGACATCGTAGAGTAAAAGCCAAGGCTCCTCCAATGGCCTATGAAGTCTACACAACGCGCCCTTTCCCGTTTCTTGCCTCCCTCTGACAGGACTCTGCTACAGCAAACAGCCCTTTCTGCTATCATCTGCAGTGATAAAGACCAACATCAGCAGCACCTGGTTGTTAGGAATGCAAATTTTGGGGACTTCCCACCCCCGAGACACACTGAATCAGAAACTCTATGGCTAGGGCTCAATAATCTGGCTTCCACCAAGGCATCCAGGTGATTCTGATGTACCTTAAATTGAGACTATTAATCAAGGTAGTACATACAGCTAGTCAGGAATGATGTGGAGCCAGTGATAACTTCTTCCAAAGCCTGTATTTTTGACCCTAGAACAATGGTTCTCACACTCGAACGTGCATAAGAATCAGCTAAACAGCTGGTTAAAACACGTTCCTGGGAACCAGCCCCAGAGATTCTGAGTTTGTAGTACTCACTAAAAACAAGTAAACAAAAAACTAGGTACATAAAAGAAATGGGGCCCATAAATTTGTATTTCTAACAAGGTCACAATTGATGCCAGTGCTGCTACTCCAGTGCCCATACTTTTAGAAGCAGTGCGCTAAGGATGGTTACACTTCTGCTGGGAAGCTTTGGCAGTTACAGTTCACTCTGCTGGAATGCTTTTCCCACAAATATCCACTTAGCTCTCTCCTCCCCTCTTTTTTCAATTGCCACCTTCACAGTGCAGCCTCCACCCTACCTAAAAATGCAAACCTACCTCCCACATACATGCACTCCCTTTTCCCACTCCCTATTTTATTATTGTCCTTAGCACTTAACAGACTATGTAATTTACTTTTTCATCTGCTTTTCCCCCATTAGAATGTAAGCTCTATGAGGGCAGGAATTTTTTGTTTTGCCACTGCTTTATCGTCAGTGCCTCCAACAGCACCTGGCATGCAACTCAATAAATATCTGTTGAAACAATGAATTATTCAATGTTATTCTCCTATCTCTTACAATAGGTATTGTTCCTATCATGCAAATGAGACAAAGGCTCAGATATGGCAGAACTGGGCTTCCAGTCCCTGTCTGACTCACTTCAGAGCCCATCAGTGTTTTTATCTGTGCTTTTCTTCTGGCAAGAGATTGCTAGAATCATATATTTCACGCTTACTTATCAACCCATAGGCATTCATACCACAAGTGCTTAATCAAATGAATTTAACTATATAAGCAAATAGCCCCAGTCCTTTTCTTCAAGGACTTGATCACTACAAGTGTATATTGTTGGGTGATAACTATGAGAAACAGGTGGAAAAAACTGATGCCAGAAGCCTACAATAAATTGACCCCAAAGACTCTACCTTTAAATAAATAATTATATCTCTGGAAAGGTAATAGAAAAAGGTTTAGAAGTTTTTTACACTTTACCAGTAATCAGTTTTTCCAAATCCTTTGCAGAAAATAATTTTTGGGAAAAAGGAACTAGAATCCAAGGATTCTGAATATTGTTTTTATGTGTACTGGAGGGGTGGTTGAGGGTATTCAAACAAAGCCAGAGTAAACAACTCCAGCAGATTCACCAGAAATATGTAAATATTATAATGGCGGTCCATTTACCTTGGATGAACAGGACGCTTTCCCTGATGTTGGGCACGTGATGAATTCAACAATCTACACCTTCATTGAACTTATTGACTGTAAAGGATATTTGTAGTGCTTACTAAAAACAAGTAAACAAAAAACTAGGTACATAAAAAATTGTGGTGTTAATAAAAGAAATGAACAAAGTACTAAAATAGAGAATACATGTGGTAGGGGAAGGAAATCTAGGAAAAGCTGCTGAGGAGATGGTTTTAAGCTGAGACCTAAATATCCTGAGCCAGCTGTGCTGGGAGCTGGGAAAGAGCTGTCCAGGCAGAGGGAAGAGCATGTGCAGGTGCCCTGAGGGAAAGAGATTGATGTATCCCTGTAACTGACAGAAGGCAGTCTGGTTGGAGGGTCTTGAGTGAGGTTGAAGAGATTCACTGGGGCAACTCACACAGGACCTTAGAAGTATAATTAGGAGGCAGTATTTTATTGCAAATGAATGGAAAACTACTTGAGGGTTTTAATTGAAAAGTGACGTGGGCCAGGCACGGTGGCTCACGCCTGTAATCCCACCACTTAGGGAGGCCGAGGCTCGCAGATCACCTGAGGTCAGGAGTTCAAGACCACCCTGGCCAACGTGGCGAAACCCTGTCTCTACTAAAAATAAAAAATACAAAAGTTAGTCGGGCGAGGTGGTACGCACCTGTAGCCCCAGCTACTCGGGAGGCTGAGGCAGGAGAATCACTTGAACCTGGGAGGCAGAAGTTGCAGTGGGAGGAGATAGTGCCACTACTGCCTGAGACAGAGTAAGACTCCGTCTCAAAAAGGGAAAAAAAGGAAAACGATGCGATAGAAGAGATGGACCTGGCATTCATTTGAAGGAAGGCAGGTGTTATACTTTAACGGCTGTGTGTAAGGTTAAACAGTGCTGCTACCTGCTTTCTCTGTGAATTTGGGGTTTCATTGACTCACCTGCTGTGGGATCACGGCTTTGATTTTAAAAGCTATGTAAAAAGTATTCAAATTCATATATTTCATTCTTTATTTTTCAAGTAGGTTAATTTTAAAAATACTGCCTTTTATAATTTCAGTTTCTCCTTATTTGAAAGGAGAAAAATCTGATAAGCTGTTTCTTCTTGTACATTTTTAAAATATTTTATTTTAGTAATTTTCATATTTGTAGCAGTGTCCTTATTAGTCCCAAAAAATGAAGAGATTTATTTTGACTGCCATATAGTGTTCTTTTCTTGAAAAGATAATAATGGTGCTCCTTTGGTAGCTTTAAGTTTGCCAGACAAGCTTTTGAAAATTAACTGGTGTATCCTTGTCCAGATAGCTGTTTACTAGGTCAAGGGAGGAATAAAGCCATTCTCTTGGTAATAAAACTTTTAAAGAAGATGAGTTAAGTATAGGATGTAACTTATCCACACACGTAAGTACTGCAAACATGATTTGGAAGCATAATCCAATCACTACTCTTTCTTTACTCCAAGCAAATGAGAGGTGGTGCACTGCACTGGTATATTATAATGAGTAATCATTATTAACACAAATCCCTTTATCGCTTATATGATTTAGAATTAGAAAATGGCCTCCTACATTTTAATAGCACAAACCCTTTTAACTATTAATACAGCCTAAATTGTCTTGACTGATGTTTGTAATATATTTAAATCTTATTTTATGTAATTTTGACTCAATATTTTAATGGTTACTTGGGTAAATGATTTACTATTTGTGTTTTTCAGACAGCATAAAATAGAGGATGCTGCTATAGCATATGTAACTGAAAATGAAGAAATTAAACATGAAAAAAAACCTGGAAAAAGCATGCAACATTCAAAACCACATGTCGGAAGAGGACGTATATATTATGCTAAATTCATTAACACAAATGCAAGAACATACAATGAACCAGTTCCCTACATAGATCCCAAAAAAGGGCCAGAAATACAGGTTGGACAGATGTTCATTGTATATAAATAGAGATTTAGATTCAGACGCTGTTTTGCAGAATAATTTGGTCACACTATAAAGGATGAGACATATCTCAGAGTAGTACCCATCATAATGCAATAGTTAAAAGCAGTAACCTGGAACTATTTTGGCACATGACTTTTACATATAAACAATACAGATACAGGGAGGGAATCTAAGTAATTGTTTCCCTAGATTGGCTCAGATTATTGCCACGAAGTAGTGCTTTGGGGTTACTAAAGAAATTTCATGTATATATTGTATTTACAATATATATTCTAATATAAAAATGTCCCATGATACTGAGTAATTCACATACCTTCTGTAAAATAATAATCATTTATTGAAAGCATATGAAGTTCTAAGAATGAGCTAAGTGTTTTATATAAATTATATTCTTTAATCTCTACAACAATTTTTACGAAGTCTTATTGGAAATAGTTTACAGATAACACATATTCCGATGAGATGAATTAACATATCTGAGATTAAGTAATAAGCAAATGTCACAGTCATATTTCTGACCCAGGGCTATTGGTTTAGCCAAACCACACTTCATTGACTGTACCATGCTAAAAATATTCCCTTATCTTTTTTATAAAGTCAGGTTTGTTGCAGTACAATTTATTGTATTAGTTTCCTATTGCTCATCTTACACATTTTCACAAACTTAAAAGATGGTTGAAAGCAGCACATATTTATTCTCTAGCTTAGAACTCCAAAATCCGTCTCACTGGCTGTTGCCAGGCCTAGTTCTTTCTGTAGGCTCTGAGGGTGTATCAGTTTCCTTGCCTTCCCCAGCTTCTAGTGGCTGCCCACGTTCCTTAGTTTATGGCACCTTTCTGTTCGAAGTCAGCAACACAGCATCTTCAAATCTTTCTCTGACCCACTCTCCTGACTCTGTCTTATAAGGACCCTTGTGATTAGATTGCATCCACCCAGATAATTCAGGATAATCTCCCCACCTCAAGATCCTTAATCACATCTGCAAAGTCCCTTTGCCATGCAAGATAGCATTCACAGATTTGGGGATTAAAACATGAACAATCTTTAGGGGCAGAGGGAGGGAACATTATTATACCTACCCTTACACAGTAAATTAGTTACCCTTGTAGTGTATAATTCTCTGAATTTTGGTAAAAGTGTAGTCGTGTTACTCCATCACAGTCAAGCCATGAATCATTTCCATCACCCTCAAAGGATCCCCTATGCCCTTTTGTGGTCATCCCCTTCCTCTACTCAAACAGCCACTGATCTGTTTTCCATAGTTTTGCCCTTTCCAGAAAGTCACGTTAATGGAATTATACAGTATGTAGCTTATTGAACCAGTCTTTCAGAATAAAGCACTTGGGATTTGTCCATGTTGCTGCAGCATGTCACTAGTTCATTCCATTTTGTTGCTGCAACACACTTGCCATGTGACTTTGGGCAAGTCATGCTAAGCTTCAATTTCCTAATTTATATAATAAGGATAGTAGTTGTCCCTCATGGGGTTTTTGTGAGAATTAAAATATTTTTGTCAGTTATTGTTCTAGACACTAGAGATACAGCAGTGAACAAAGTAAATGGGGAAAAACTCCTGTCCTTACATAGCTTACATTTTAGTGAGGGAATAGATAAAACAAGTAAGCTGTATTCGAATGTTATATGGTAGTAAGGGCGGCATGCAAGGCAGGATAAGGAATGCAATTTTAAATTGGTGGTCAGAGAAGGCTTCACTGAGCGACATCTGAGTGAAGACCTGAGGGAGAGTGAGGGAGTAAGCATGTAGGAACCTGGCAGAAGAGCATTCATAATGCACAAAGGAAGCACTCACTAGACATTAGCTCTTAGTAGCAGCAGAATCCTAGTCTACTGCTGTTTGGAGTGATGGGGACTCATTTGCAGCTGAGAGCAGGATTCTATGAGAGAAGACCTAGTACAGTGCTGGGCCAGGCAAGTGTTCAACAGATGGGATTCAAAATATGTCACAACAAAGGTAATAATTTCTCATGTAGGTTTTTTCCAGCATATTTGGAAAAGGAAATGTGTACCATCTAAATGGTCTCAGATCACTGTGCCAATGTCCGCCTCCTCCTACTCCACTTCTTTCCTCATCTCTCTGTGTGTTAGGTATAGTGATTTAACATTTAGATGGAGATTGCTTTTTGTGAGCTCTCTTCATACTGATAACATCTGTTCTTGTCATAGACAGCACACCATGGTGTGAATGTGAGATCTTGGGGCAGGAATTCCTGTGGTTAAATGTACTTTAATGTCATGAACTAAACCCTTTTAAGGGCCATATTGAGAGTACTTCATTTTGTACACTTGCTTATGCTCTCGTACCAATTATTTCAGATTTTAAAGAAATCAATTGTTATTGTTAGACCAGACCTACACCAGGGAAATTAATTTGGTACCAAAATCCAGATTAGTGAAGTTCTTACATTTCTTGTAAAGGCTCATGAATGACTCTGAGCTCTAGTTCAGGGCTGAATTTAAAACTGTTCACTGAACTCATCCTTACATTGGCAGTACTAAGAAAAAGAAGCTGGTTTGAGAATAGAAATATGAAACATAAAAGTTTAAAAACTTTATCCCAACTAATTTTCTCTTACTTCTTACTCTATTGGTATGTTGGAAAAAAAATGAATAAAGGTGTTAAGAGCTACTATCTGCAAGACTAGGTGACAGAGCAGTAGTAGAATCATTATTAGCGCTGGACCTTTAAGAGATGGTGAAAGTGAGTTTGAGATGAAGAGCTCAAATAAGGGAAGCTGTCAGTGAATACGGAGGAGAGTTACAGAGAAAGACTGAAGATATCACTGAGTTACAAGCATATCTGATTTGGGTGTGGCAGGAAGGGAAAGTTTATATTTTAAAAACATAGCCTGGGCAACATGGTGAGACTGCATTTATACAAAAAAAAATTTAAAAAAACAGCTGGGTGTAATGGTGTATGCCTGTGGTCCCAGCTACTTGAGAGGCTGAGGCAGGAAGATTGCTTCCACCTGGGAGGTCAAGGCTGCAGTGAGCTGTGTTCACGCCATTGCACTCCAGCCTGAGTGACCGAGTGAGACCCTGTCTCAAAAAGAAAGAAAATAGGCTGGGCACAGTGGCTTACACCTGTGATCCCAACACTTTGGAAGGCCAACGCAGGAGGATAACTTGTGCCTAGGGGTTTGAAATCTGCCTGGGCAACATAGTGAGACCCATCTCTACAAAAATAAATAAATAAATAGCCAGGTGTGGTAGCAAGCCTCCGTAGTCCCCGCTACTTAGGAGGCTGAGGCAGGAGGATGGCTTGAGCCCAGGAGTTCAAGGCTGCAGTGAGCAATGATCGTGCCACTGCACTCCAGCCTGAGCAACAAAGCAAGACCCTATCTCTAAAAACAAATTTTAAAATAATAAAAAACAAAAACAACAATGAACCTTAAATCTACTCATTTCTAAGTATCCAAGGACTAATAAAGAACATATATTTCACATATTTGTAAACTGTTCCTTTAGGATGACAGGTTTCTTTTTAAAGGTCAGCTTGGTTAAGAAAAAAACTGGTTGACAGTAATGCTGTCTTTATAAGAGTAAATAATATAAACTTGCCTAAATATTTTAAATGACACCTGTTTTATGTGTTTTGCTAAGATACTATCTTTAGGATGCAACACGAGATTGGTTGGTTTTATTTATTTACAAGATTTTTAAGATTTCGTACATTTCTACCTAGGAACATAAAATTGGGGATGCTAGAAAAAGTAAGAAGTTGTTTTAGCTCAGTCACTTCCAAAGAAAACTGGTTTGATTGTCTTGTATTTTTGGCTGGGTGCGGCGGCTCATGCCTGCTATCCCAGCACTTTGGGAGGCCGAGGTGGGCGGATCACGAGGTCAGGAGTTCGAGAGCAGCCTGGCTGGCATGGTGAAACCCCATCTCTACTAAAAATACAAAAAATCAGCTGGGCATGGTGGTGCATGCCTGTAGTCCCAGCTATTTGTGAGGCTGAGGCAAGAGAATTGCTTGAACCTGGCAGGCAGAGGTTGCAGTGAGCCAAGATCATGCCACTGGACTCCAGCCGGGGCAACAGAACGAGACTCCGTCTCAAGAAAAAAATAAAATAAAAATGTTTTTAAATATTGGTACTTTAAAAGAGATTATACTAGGTTGGTATTTTCAAAAGTTTATTTTTTAGAGCACTGACCCTTGTCTACGTGCTTCACAAAATAGATTTGCAAAGTCAAATACGTTTTGGAAAAGCTGTATTTTTATAAACCTTTCTCAGAGCTTCACAATTCACATTGGTGTATAAAGGTTCTGAGAAATCTTGTGATAAACTTATTTAACTTTGTTTTTCTCACTATTTCCCAAAGTTACTTAACTGTGGACACCTCTTTTGTATAACACCTATTAATATGCTGGAGAACTAGTGTTCCACAGAACACAATTTTTGAATTTTCTTGTGGGGGGGTACATCATGAACTGCTTAAAAACCGGTTTTTTTAAGCACTCATAACATCTATAGAAAAATAGAGGTGAATTTAGGTACAGTGTAACCAATGTGACCTTAGCTGCCCTAGTGTCTGTGATAGTACTTCAATTTTTTAAAGCCACTGAGCTCTACCAACAAAATGTGATTGTTTATGTGTAGGTTTTGTCAAAAGCCCACATTTCCTTGGGAATCCACAAAGTATGACAAAGTATGATTTTATGTTCCACAGATGACCACCACCAGCCATCTTGGCTAGGCCACTGTGGCTGTGGAGCTTGGCTTATGACCTCTTACATTCGCTTAACTGGTTTCTCTAGGATACTTCACTTGCTTTTACTACTTCTCCTCTGAGGGTTCTCCCTTAATTTCCCAAATAATGGAAAATAAGTAATCTTTACTAGAACGTCTCTGAAAGCTTAGGGGTACTAGGAGTATAACATAGAGACTGCCTTGCACTGGCTTCCAAATGTGACTAAGGGACCCACAGTGCAACAGCTACTGGCCTTCCCAGAGCTGCGGGTTAGAAGAAGCCCCGTCATCAGGAATCTCCAGGCACCTCCTGACCGTGGAGCCCAGTGACTATCATCCTGGGGCAGGAAAGAAGACAGGCCTTAGACTGGGAGGGATAACTCCTCTCTGGGTCCAAAGTTTGAGTTAGGCAAAACGCCCTCAACAATCTGCAAGATACGGTCTGTTGCTCAGCGCCTAGACAGAGCCATCACGCTAGGTATCTTCCCAGCTTATTTTGTCATAAAACTGTGTTAACCCCCCACAATCCAATATAAGTGATGGTACACAGAGCAGTAAATTTTGTGTTAGTCTTTCCTTTCAGTATGAGATAAAGATAAAAACGAGCCTCCATCTATCTCTTTCCTTAATCTCATAATCTTTTATGAGTAAATGCTTGGACCAAAAAGGCACGCACATGTTACATGGGCACATACGCACTCTTACTCTTCCAGGAACAAACCCAACTTTTTAGGCATAAGGAAGACTATCCAGAAACATGAAAGATAACCTTTTTTTTGGACTGTAAGATTTCACTCAGCTAAAGTGAAGATGCATCCAATTTATAACACTCATCAGAACACTTTCACAAACTGCAGAGTCTTAAAGTCACCAGTCACATTTTAGGAAACACTGTTCTCTATTTCCTTTATATTTGTGAAACAAAGACCATTTTGGCAAAATTCTCAGTTTAAAAGAAGTTTGCTCAAAAGATGAAATTATCTCTCTGCCTTAAGGGTAACTTTGCATTACACTTTTAAGAAAAAATTATAGCCAGGCATGGTGGCTTATGTCTATAGTCCCTGCTACTCAGGAGGCTAAGGTGGGAGGATCACCAGAGTCCGGGAGTTTGAGGCTGCAGTGAGTTGTAATCGCACCACTACACTCCAGCTTGGGTGATGCAGGGAGACCCTGTCTCAAAAAAATAACAACAACAAATAATAATAATTAAAGCCCATCAGCCATTTCCTAGTGGTTTGCTCCTCCCAGAGTCATTTTTCCAGTAACTTGAATATTAGCAAAATAAGTTTTTGATCAACAAAAGTAGATGATATAAAGTGTTTGTGCATGCTTTACAATCTTATCATAGAAGAACTTTCTCAGGATACTTGCTGCTATGGTTTGAATGTTTGTCCCCTCCAAACTCATGTTGAAATGTAATTTCCATTGTAACTGTATTAAGAGGTGGGACTCTTTAAGAGGCGATTAGGTAATGAAAGCTCCACCCTCACAAGTGAAATGAATGCCATGATAAAAGGGCAAGTTTGGTCCCCTCTTGCCCTCTTTTTGCCCTTCTGCCTTCCACCATGTGAGGATGCAGTGTTCAAGGTGCCATCCTAGAATCATAATAACCAAACCTGCCAGTGGCTTGACGTTAGACTTCCTAGCCTCCAGAACTGTGAGCCAGTAAATTTCTGATCCTTGTAAATTACCCAGTCTAAGGTATTCTGTTATAGCAGCACAAAACAGACTAAGACATGCACTTTGAGCCTCTATTTTCACTTCTTCAATAATTTAATGTGGTTTGTGCTTACCTGGTTTTGCATTCCACAGCCGGTTTGATACAGCAGTGCAGCACAGAAATTAGAGGTGTGCACAAAGAGTTGGGGGTTTGAATTGTGGCAGTGCAGCAGTCTGCTAGTGATATACCTTGGGGAAGTTACTTAATCTCCTGGCAGTTTTCTCATCTGTAAAGTGGGTATGCCTGCCTCATAGAATTGTTATGAGCATTAGACAAGACCTATAAATCCTAGACCTTGGGGCATAATAAGCACTATTATAACTGTGAAGTGGAGTGGAGAAGAGCTGCCAGAAGCAGGCGCTCTGACAACAGTAGGATGTGACTATTTTCAGCCAGATAGTGAGAAGACACCATCTGTTTAGTAATCTGTTCTAGAATTTTCCTAGGATCTACATCAAGTAGTCTTAATTTTTAAAATTCACCTTTTAGCCCATTCTGAAAAATGAAGCATTAGCCAATCTATTCTCCAAAATGCACTAGTTCCTAAATTTCTGTGATCTCTGCAGAAATTCCCCTAGTTACAATTACCAGTTATTCCATTACTCCTGCTTACAATTTGTCATTGGCCTAAAAACTGGCACTCTTATAAACTGACAAAGTGAAGTCCAACTCTCTCATCAGCTCTTCAGGGCTTAGTTCTTTGGTACATGTTCATCCCATCTTTTACAAGTTAACCATAATTTTCCTTAACAACCTCAAGTTGAGTAGTTCTGACTTTCCTGAACAAGATTCTTCTCTCCAAATGGTTAGCTGGAACACAAAAGATAACCTTTTTGGGGGCTGTAGGATTTCACTCAGCTATGAACAATTTTTCTAGAAAACCTGATTTTTGCTGCCTTTGACAGTTGTATAAATTATAAATTTATACAACTGTACAAATTTATAAATTTCTTCCAAGTTTCTTGACAATCTTCTGACAAGCTGACTCCATTAATTATTTTTTAAATCGAATGTTGTATATGTCTTTTATACGTGCCTGTCTTTTTAGAAACTAAGCTCATTTGAGAGCTGACTCCCTATGCAGCCACACAGGCTTTTTTTAAATTTTCTTTTAAAGAAACATCTCCCTTTTTGCATCAATGTAGCCCCAATTGTATTGTCAGAATTTTACCTATTGGAATTGCATATTCATCCCCCTTGAATCATAGTTTAGAAGTCTTTGGCTATGGAATCATAGTTGATTTTTTAAAAGGCAGACTTGCTTCTTTATAGCCCATGGTAGGTGTTTGATTATGCCGAAAGTTACTTTCATACCCTAATTGTATTCCGGGAACTCCTAAGTGTCATGGGTTTCTCAAGGGTTTTCTTACTACCACCTAACAACCAGTTTTAAAATTTTGGTCAGAATTAAGTTGACTAATAGTTCCCCTCTGTACTCTCTGAACTTCCAAGAAATCAAATTGTCATACAGGCTAATGAAGAATCTTTCAGTTTTCCCTTTCTTGTATACTTAGGTTTTAGTACTAAAATTCAGTAACATTGGAGAGATTTCCCCTTAAAACAAAGTTTATCAAACTGAGTCATTAGTGAACCATAAATCATTGAGTTGCAGTCAGCAATGTGAAATGAAATAGGAAAGCAATAAAATAGAAGAGAAAAATAGCTGAGCACACTGCATATATTAAGAATAAGTATTTTGTGAAACTTTTGTTTCAGTTTTATGTATGTGTAGCATTGTGCGCTCTTGTATGACATAAAATATATTTCATGGTACAGGTTAGGGACTAAAAACTCTAAAAACCACCATTTTTAGATGATAATAAATTATTTGTATTGTCATAATGAAAAGTTTAGAACGTAATTTTTTAGAATATTTAAATATATACATACATGTGTACATATATAACAAAATTGTAGTACAAAACAAATACAGCTATTTTGTTGACTTTTACCATTTTATTTGTTGATGGAAGGTAGCTTAAGAATTTAGCAGCTGTATTTTAGCTAAAAATACGTGACAACTCATTTTTCAGTGCCTTCAAAGAAATACATTTTTTTGTGAAAAGATATTTCTAGATTTCAGAATTCCACATTATTACCAGGATATCCACTAATTTGTTAAAGTGAATTACTGAATATCCATAGACATCAAGCAATAAATGAAAATGCCCTACAGTATCCAATATTGTGTTTCCAATTATTTTCTATGAAGGGTGACTGGTGGTCACATGGTAAAGCACTGGAACCTGTCTTCCTACCACCTTATGACTCTAAGAGTACCCAGAGGAGTGACTTCCAAAAACCAGCATGTCCACTGGTTTTGCCAGTCAAACACAGCAAGATGCAAAAGCCTTCTTGTGGAATAGGTAAGGTTTTGCAGTGGCAAAAACCTTTTTTGTTATCTCAAATTATTGCTGTCAAAACTAAGATGTATTAGATGTCCTGACACCTCCTGAAAAAGTTACTTCTTTACAGAAGTTGAAAATATACACACAGCAAGTGCAGCCCTTGGGAAGTTTGTTATTTCTTCCTAGTGGACAGTTCCGTCTCCAAACAGTTAATGTGACAGAATGAAAATTGTACTGATCATTAATAACATCAGCCTCAAAGTCAGAAACTTAGTAGCATTCTGCTGGTTGTTGCCACCACATTTTAATAGTTATAACTATTGTCACTTCAAAGAAGGTAGTTGATGAAGGAGGCTATTAGATAATCTGTAACAGTGACCTGTCATTTAGAAATATAATAAAGTTTCCACTTCTGGTTCAGGATAGTAGACTGAGCACACATACCTAAGTTCCCTGCCTTCCAAGACCCTATTACTATAAATAGTAGCAAAGCAATAAGCTCCTAAGGGTGAAGATAATAGAAGGAAGAACTTCCTGGAATGTAGAAAAGACTAGAAGCCTACTGACAGATAAAAGAGAATAAAGAAGCAATAGCTAGAAGGAGATGCGCAAAGAAGAGACAATCTGCCTGGCCAAAGCCCTGACTGAGCTATATGCCGAGCCAGCAGGCATAGTGGAAAGCAAAAATGAAAAGCGAGTAGGAGACAGAGAGTTACTTCAAAGCCTGTCCCTTAAATAAAGGCTCCAGTCATGAGCACTCCATCCTATCCCAATATTAAGACTACTAGAGCGCAGCGTCTTAGCCAGATGTCAACTACCACACCAGTTATTTCAGTAAATCAAGCTGATCCCCCATCCCCTTCTTATGAATGGACAACCAAAGATTAGAATTATGGCAATTAAAAGAAAGGATTTGGAGGATAAAGGCAGGGAAATATCACAGAGCATGAAACAACAAAACAGAGGCTTCAAAAATGAGAAGGAAAGCAAAACAGAGGATCTGTTTGGGAAATCCAACTTTTCTGGAGCTCCAGAAGATAGAGGAGTAAAAATGAAGGTAGATAATTAGCAAAACATAACATTTCTTGAGCACATACTATTTGCCAGGCACTTTATGGAGCTTTCTGAATAGTAACTCATTTAATTCCCACATGAACTCTATGCAACATAATAGTGTAGTAATACTGTTAATATTCTTATTTTTCAGATAAGAAAGTGTAGGGAGGCAAAATTTTACCTCTACCCTCTTAGTGTTTTTGGCTGGGCTTGAGAATTAAATTGACACAAAGATCAACAGGAGAAAAGCATACAAATTTATTTAATACAAGTTTTACATAGCAGGGGAGCCTTCATAAGGAAATGAAGACCCAAAGACACAGAAACAACACATATACTAAATTGGACAAAGAGTAGAAAATCATAAAAATGGGACAAGGCAAAGGACTTTGGGCTAGGGTAATTGGGTAGAGAAGTGACTAGGAAGATAAGCATGAGTTGAACAGGTTTATTTGTCTAGATTTCCCCTCACCTCAAATTCCTGTGCTTGATGATGAGAATGATGCTTTCCTTCTGGTGTAGGAGGATATCTTTTACACAGGAATTTCATCTCCTGCTTTTGAGAAAGAGAAGGAAGGTCAGACTGTTTTTCTTGCATCTGCTGTTTTTCAAGTGCCTTTAACTCAATACAGTCAATATGCCAGAGTGGCATTTTAGAGTGGCATGTTCTGAACTCCTTTGGAAGCAAGCATGGAGTTGAAATAACGTGCCCAAGGCTACACAGTGAGTAATTGGCACTTGCACCCAGCTAACCTGACTCCAGTACATATACTCTTAACCAGTACTGTACAGTACTCTACACAACCTCTAAAATAGTAAGAAAGTTTCCCTACATAAAATGCATTAAAAGGGTCTACCAAGTGCTTCTAAGTATGAAGGGGTAAAAGATGCATATCATTTCAAAATTGCAACAGAAGATTCTAAAAGTTTCCATAAAGGGACAGAAAAATAAGCCACCATCTAAGAAGTAAGTATCAACATGGAATCAGGCAGCACTGATGCAAGAGTACAATGGAGTTAATATCTTCAAAGTTCTCAGGGGAAATACTTTTTGACCTAGAAAAGGGAATTTATTTGGCATGGATACTAAACCATTTTTTTTCAAGTGGCACTGGGCAGTACACCCACTGAGAAGGAAATGAAGTCCTGGCACAACATTTGACCCTTAAATGAACAAGATGTATGTAATTATGTTATACTATGCATGCTGTTTAGTAGTTATCAACTTTTAGGCTCAATCTATAGACACAAGTTTAAATATGGTTACAGAACAGAATGTATCTTAGCATCTTTAATAGAAAAGTAAGTGCACAACGATAGAAGATGAGAAGTAGAAGAGAAGAAGGGTGCTAACATCATTATTTGTGATATAGGTAATCAAGAGATACTATCTAGTGGGGGTGAAACAAGGAATAGATGTTTAAGGTGAAAGGTCAAAGGAACCAGTCTAAAAACCAAATTTCTCTAACCCTGGCTTCTTTACTGAGCCTCAAAAGTTCAGATATCCAAACACCTACTTAACATCTCCTCTTGGACAGCTAGTCACCTTCTCAAACTTGATATGGCTGGAATAGAATGCTTCATGTCTCCCATCCAAACTTACCCCCACGAGTCTTCTCCATCTCAGTGAATGCCACCTCCACTCTCCCACCAGGTGCTCACGTTTTGATAAGCTAGAAGGCATTCTAAAACTCTCTCCTTTTGCTCCCTGCCCCTACATTCAATCCATCAGCAAATCGTGACACCTCTATCTCCAAAACAGACCCCAAATCTACTCCTTTCCATCTTCACTGTAAGCAATGCAGTATAGCCGCTATTACCCTGCTTGCTTGCTTCCTCCTCTTTGTTTTCTGCAGCATTGTCAAAGGATCTTTTTAAAAAAAACAAATGATATTCTCCTCCTTTAGATTCTCCAGTTACTTCTGTTCACAGAATAAATTTCAAATTCCTCGGTATGGCCTACACGGCCCTTTTTGATCTGTCAAATTTACCTGCATTATCTTCTATTGCTCATGTGAGGATTTAGAGGCACAGAATGTAACTCAGACCAAGGAGGTAGAGACACTCTCTGAAAGTCAAGCTTGTTTCCAAACCAGATTTATGTCTATGTACTTGTTACTATATTTCCATATTCTAATTACATATTCTTGTGAATTAAAATCTGAGTAAGAAAACAGTTGTTTCTATAAAACATTCAAAGTTGAATGTGCAGACTTGATAAAAGGTCAATTGCTAACTTTTAAAAATGCTAATTAGGTATAGGCAAAATAACAAAGAGGAGTTGGACTGAATTTTTAAAATCTTGAAGGATTCTGCACTCATTTTGCTTGAAATGTGTCTTTACGTTTCATTCTATGTCAAAGAAATAGAAACTGGAAGTGATGCATTAGAAGCATGGTTTGCACAAGAAACACAAAGTGGAATTCCAATCAGTAGACACCTCCTCAAAGACAATGGCTTGGCATGCCAATAAAAATTTGATGAACTGGTTAAAATATGTATCTACATATGGCATATGATTTTTTTTTTTTTTTTTTTTTAGTAGAGACGGGGTTTCACCGTGTTAGCCAGGATGGTCTCGATCTCCTGACCTCGTGATCCACCCGTCTTGGCCTCCCAAAGTGCTGGGATTACAGGCTTGAGCCACCGCGCCCGGCCGGCATATGATTTTTTGCTTTAACTTTCTTTGGTAGCCAACCAGTCCTTTGCATATAAGGAGCAGTTATGGTACTTTCCTACTCAAGTTGAAGGGATGTAGAAGAGTGGTGAAAGATGATACTGGAGAGATGGGCTTTGTTCTGGGTTCATAAGGCAGGGCTCAGTCATTTCATAAGGGATCCCCCAAAATCAGGGTCTGTAGATCTACTTAATTTGCCCAGAGAGAAATCCTCCAAATCTCTGCCTAGGATGGAGGACAGAAGATCCAGGAGTCCCTTAAAAGCAGTCCTCTGCAACATCACCTTGTCCCCCTGTCCCACGCTCCCTGCCTCAGAGGCATCTGAGGCCTCCCGATTCCGGGGCACTCCTAGAATGCTGTGGCATGAATTGGCTTAATTTTTACCCCACCCTCTTCCCCATAGCACTTCCAGTTTTCTGTAGTTTACTTGAGTCTATTGCTACTTATCCATCTGTTTTCCAGCTTCCAAATTTGTTAACATCTTCACTCCCATTTAGTTTTTTCCTTATGGATGTAAGCCCTCTTAAATTTCTGTAGTGTGATTGTACTGGGGCTTGGGGAAGGAATGGGGGAAATGCTTGTTGAATTTGCCATGTTTAACTGGAAGTCACGGCAACTTGATTTCTATCAACACTCCTTTTATAATATTGGTTCAGTATTAAACTTAGTACTGTGTGAACCTGAACCCATTAAATTTAATCATCCTGTTTTGCTCAATTTATGAAGTGAGAATAATTCCTACTTTGCAGGATTGTTGTGAGAAACAACAATATAAAGTGCCTAACACAGTGTTTGCTACATAGTAGACAATAAATGGTAACTGCTTCTATTATCAATAATTGCATTGTACTATGTTGTGTGTTGAGTTGAAATTTAGCTTGAGAACCTGGCATGGTTCTCTCTCTGTTCTTTTATTGGTATTTCTTTTTCTCTCTCTGTTCTTTTGTTGGCATTTCTCATTGCCAAGTTAATTATTGTATCCTAGGGTCTAGAACAATGCCCAGATTCAATAAATATTAGCTAAATGATAATTATACATTCTTCAATAAAGTCATAATGTAAAGTAACGTATACTACATAATATAGGCCTGCAATTTATTCATATTTTAGGTATTTGGATATTAGATGAAAATGATTTTTAAAAAAGAAAATGTTTTAATGTGACATTTAAAAATATGTATATAAACTAATCTATATGTGCCAGATTTTTAATTATAAGCATATGAACATAGAAAAATGTGCATATAAACATGCACTAATACCAATTAAAAGTCATCTCATAGTC